TAAAGACTTCGCAAGAAAACTAAATAAATTTATTCATTTCTTTTTGTCGCTGAATTCACATACTACTAATATCAAAGGGAACATTTTTTTCATTAGTATTAATAATAAATCTTCCAGTATCCTAGTGAATATAATGAATAAATTAAAAATAAACAAAATTCTATTGCTTCATCAGTTTCTAGTTAATCTGCTTGGTGTATGATATAAATGGTTGGACTAGTACTATTTGGCAATTAAATCTATCTTTAAATTAACAAACAAGAAATGTCAAAAATGGAACAGTTTGTTGTAAATATCGTTGAATCAGGATTGTGTATTATTTCCAATTGACTGAAATAGGAAATATAAGCGTAAGGTTTTAGAACCCGTTGTCGAAAGATATTATGCTTATAGGGAGAAACGAAGGTCATATGTTCAATACAATCTATATTCATAGCAAAGCATTGTCGATAAGTTCCAACTAAGAAGAAAACACCTGTCTCGTGCTCTAAGATATCCAATGATTCGTAAACTGATAATAATTTGCAAAGAAAACTTATTCATACTGGAAGCGTTAATTCCTAGGCATTTACCTACTGCCATTTAAAATCCCAATGGTTTCAATCAATTAAATCATGCATTAAACTGATTTTTTAAAGCACGCTACCAATTAGCATACTGATTTGCAAACAAATAAATGAACTCAAAATGGTCGAATTTAAGAAACTTAAAACGATTCTGAGACAAACCAATCAAGCTAAAGAATTCCTGTTCAGAAAAATGATAGAATTAAATTGTTTTCTTTTCGTTCTGTTCAACCATAATATATTAATCTATATAATTACAAGTAATGCAATAAATGTTATATAGTTGTTTTTTTACAAGTATAATCATAATCACTATTACTAGTGTCACTGCTGTTTAAAGAAAGCATTTTGTGGAACCATAAAAAACGTGGATACAATGAACAACAGATGATGTAAGGATAAAAAAGTAGTGAGAAGACAATGTGATATTTAGACTGCTTCTGAAGATTACACACATTGTCTAAATAATAGGTAAATAAAGCATTTCATTTCAATAAAAAACAGTTATAAGTGTAGGGTTGTGGAGCTTGCTGAATTTCATTTATATTATGAATTGATATAAGTTAGACCACTATTGAAAACCTGGAAGCACCGGAGAGTTGTTTCGTGCTAATGTGGAGCTTCTAAGATTAAATATATTTAAGATTTCAATAAAACTCAACAATTTCCACGACTCCATACGAAAAATTATCATGTACACACTAATGACAGGCTTCGAGAGATTTCCAGAGTTCTAGTGAGAAGCCGTGACCAGTGGAGCTCATCAATATCGGGGGTGAGGCAGATGCCCACTAAAGACAATGGAAGATGGTCGCACAATATCGTGGATTGGTTGAGGTTAGAAAGTACCATCGTTGGATACCAGCTTAGTGGTCTACAGAATAAGTGTTAGCGCGTGAGATTAAAGGTCCTGAATTCAGTCGTCTTCGATGGTGGTGTAACACTGATCGTCTCATAGTTTCAGTGAAAAACAATTATCTTTCTCCTGTACAGTATTGCCTATAATTATGATCACTTCAATAAAATGAATGAAAAATTGGTGTGATTCTTCACAAAACATATATGACCATTAGAAGAATAATGGGTTGAAAAAAGAAATTTTAGAAACATTCACTTCCAATATAATTTTTAGGTTTAGTCATTGCAAATAGTTAATTCTATGCAACAAATGGCTTTTATCTCTAGTCAATAATGGACGTGTTATTTTTTATTTTAAACAACATATTACCTTCACTTCATATTTATTTTAACCGTACATTGTAGGTTTAAATTACTCATCAACGTTTTAAAAACCATTTACTCGGTGTCCTATCATGGCTTAAACTTTTGAACTAGTACATATATGTCCCAATTTCTACGCTGCCTACGACTGACTGAACTAATGAATTTTCTAAATTTTCGGAATCGGAATGCCTAATATGTATGTTATTTCGTTTAAATAATTATGCGAATTATTGCTGATTTTCACACAATTTTTTTACATTCATTATCAGTGTCTGAATTTCCTTTCGAGCCAGTGATTTAGAAGTATAGAAATATGTTTCATATCAATGTCAAATAGCCTAGTGTTGAATCAATTCTCTTGCAGCAAGTCAGGATAATATAAACGCCCGAGTCACTTTATGTTAATTCCCAAAAACAGAGTTTTGCACCTTCTTACTATCTTAAATAAGCTTACAGAACAAGTCAGAAATATATCCGGTTATAAGTTTCTCAGTACACATGGTCACTTCATTTCAACCTCGCTATATGTCGCTCATTCATTATGTAATGTAACAGCTTACTGTGATTCAAACATATTGTGTTCTGCACTACTTATGAAAACAGACGAAAGTAGTATGTAGTAAGGATCGAAAATAGAATGCTGACCAGCAGAAGTTAAAAAGAGGCAAAACGAAGAGCAATCGGAAGAACAACAGGATAAGAAGAATGATGAAGTATATAAAAGATAACTGAGGGCAGATATGCAAATGATGTATTTAATGTATATAATTTACGAAACTACTGTTTGATTATGCTTAAAACAATAAATCGGTTTTGCCCACTCAGTATTCATTCGTTACAATATGTTCAACGTAACGCTATTGAAATCCTCATACTTCACTCATTTCAAGGTGCATAGAAAAGACAATTCTCCCAACTAATTAACAGTAATTTATCCAGACGCAAATGAATTGTCAAGAAATTGATAAAACTGTTGGAAATGATTGTATTGCATACAATAACAATCATATTCATTACGTGGGAGTAAGGTATATTTTAATTAACTGAATTAAATAAAGTTCGCTTTCAAAACTCTTCCAATTAATATCATCAACACAAGGCATGAAGTCTATGCTCCCATTTTGACAACTTTTTGTTGTACTGTAACAGAAAAATCCACCTAAACTAGGTTAGATTGTAATATTAAGTGTCATAGTGTATATTTGCAAAACAGAAATACCGTATTTAATAATCAACTTGAAATATTCAATTTTCATTCATTACCAATACAAAACACATACGTTGGGAAAGCTAAATTTATAACTAGGGTTTACTTAAACAGTAAAACCTTGTCCAAACCTTCAATTATTATTCTATTCGTAATTATAAATGCATGGCATTCAAAGTTTCCATTTGATTAAAACAAATAGGTTGTTATTACTTTCAAATATATATATATATATGATTTTTGTTTGTTCTGTAAATGAAAAAAATATAACAGACTACAAATGTATGTCATACTGATGTTATTCACAGTTTGTTATTTGTTTAGAACATTATTCCAATGGACTATTGATCCTACTTTGTTTAAAAGAGGTGGACTATTAAAAAAACAAAAGGTTAAGAATTTCAATGGATATGACTGCTATATGGAATGCATAAAAGCATCGATGGAATTTTACCTGATAGATAGGCAAAGCTGACCAAACATCCCATTGACAAAGAATAAATATATATGTATTGGAAAATAAGATTATGATGTCTTTCTTGAAATTATTTCTCCCTCCATATTTTGCCTACTAATGAGTAGACAATATTAATCGCCCAAAAATCAACGACTCTGGATGGGCGGATTGTTATGTTTACAGATTAATTTGTATTCATTATTGAAAAATGAAACCCCAGATAACGGAGGAGGGTTGGGCACGAGGTTAGCAACCTCACCTCGTGGAAAAAACCTTGCCGAAATAACGCTAATTAGAAAAAATCATTTAAACCGATTCGGGTTAATTGGAAGACGAAAACGTCAACTATTTCCCATATCCAAGGCATTTACGTTGATTTTAACACTCAATCCTTTTAAAATTCACCATATGATGGTTAACTCAAAAATACTTTCCGATGTACCGATGTACCTAGTATCGGTGAAGTAATTAGAACGTCACATTTCTACTTGAAGATTATACTAATGATGTCCAAAAAAGCAGCAACTAAACTTCGCAATTAAGCTTTGCCATTAAGAGAACGAAAAGCTACAGAAATTATTCACATGAACTAGAAACGTTTCCTACCGATTTGATAAACACTACTGATTATTTTATTTGTGACAGATTTATGGAATGTTTAATGACAAATCAAATATAAAAACGGAGAATACTCATAAAATACTTTATTTTCATAAAGTGAAAAAAATTCTTCCTACAAATCGTTTTGTCATACCAACTAGATTCCCACTAATAATAACAAAACAAAATCCATTTCTCAACAAGATCTTAAACAGTATATAATTATTCGCATCACATTCATTGTTACATGAATAGATTGAGATCAGGAAGGAGTAAAGTTGGCTAAGTTTGTACAAGAATAACTGTAAGAACGAATAAATTCCAATATTCTAGAAATAATCGACGACTAATACTTACAAATCGCCACTACAAACTATCGGGTTGAAACAGGTCATAAAATTGATTTAGTCTTGTAGTGTTGTATAAAAATGGTAAGAGGTCAATATCTACACTTCTTTAAGCCTTACTCATTCGAAGATTCAAACCATACTGCTGTATTTGAAAATATGATGTATTTACATGATCCTACTCTGGTAGTCCTGCGTTTAATTCAACAGCCGAATTGATGTAATTTATGCTTTTTGACCAGAAAAGTAGCTTCCACGTTCGCACTAAGATTGTAACTAGTTGAACCCAATCACCATCGGAGAATTAACATTGATGAATCTGTGACCATATGTGTTGAGGATTCCATGTATTACCATGAAAACAACGAGAAGATACAAAAGATAGTCTGAACACTACCACCATTCCCCAATCATACATATACTAGTTTTGTAATACAAAAGACCACAAGTAAACGTCTGAGCAATGATAATTACTTTAGTAATCATTACTGTTATCATTTATATTTATGTCTGATAGAAAAATAGTCTTTTCAAAAGAAGAGATAATAAATAGAAAATATACAGAATATCAATTAGGATATAAAATAAAATAATTTTCTTTACAAGTTAAAACATTTCCTTAATTCTGAAAAATTGTCTTCGTTCACTGGAATTCGGCGAATTTCATTAATTGAATCAATGTACTGTAGAATGAAAATATAAGAAATGGTACATTGTTGAACATCATCATATTTTCAATTTAACATAAATTCAATATAAAAACGTTTCATATCAAATATTAACTGAAGAATACAATTTGAAGGGTAAATATGGAGGTGAAATGCATAAATCCTAAGTGAAACCGATAAACTAGTGATACATATCAGTGTATCGACACAAATTGATAAGTATATTATTGGTGGGTGTGATAAAAACACTGTTTACGTAATTCTGTAAGCTAAGGTAACTTGATACAATCAGATAATAATAATTTTGTCTATTAATTAACAATAAATTGACAAAAACATTACGTCAATAACTTCTTTAACTGTTAAACTAACTGCCTAAGTACAGAAAATAACCTATAAGCTCTTTAATAACAACTGTTTTATTTGAGTTCGCATGATATGAAGTAATCGAAGTTCACACGTAAAGAATAGTACATAACCTTCATCATAAAAGGTTTCAATACAAGTACTGACAACAAGGTGAAAATTATACTACTGCTTAGCATCAAAAATACGTAAAAGACGATATTTAAAAGAAGTAAGCCAGGATAAAACAAAGCTCTGCTTAGCTTTCATTCAAAGAGATGAACTGTCTATATTTAAGACAGTAACAATAAAGCTTAAACTAGTAACTGACATACATCGAAAATCATAAATCAGAAGACATTTTTCTGACATAGAATTTTCTAAATTCTACAACGTTTTCAAACGCACAGAGCTACACTTATGGACGGTGTAATCCAGTCATTATAGCAACCACCTAGTCCAATTACACGAGCTATTTTACAAGCTAATATAAAATATAAGTGTAAATCTCAATCTAAAAACTTCTCCACTTTATCCATACCAGAAACATATCAACCGTTCTCGTTGTGGGACGTATGAATGAGACAATATTTCAATCGACCCAATATACAATACAGTAAAAAAGCTCATACAAATAGACGTGTAAATTCGAATAGGCAGTATTAGTTATTGAGTTTATGGAACCTAAACGACAAAGGCTACATAATGATGTGTGCTATACACTAGCATAACCCATTAAACATCAAGTGATATGGAGAATAATTTAAGGCAGACAAAGATCAATAAAATGATAGTATGAAATAGAATTACTAAATATGAGTTTCCACAAAGTACAGGAAAATACATGGGTTAGAGAATATATTTATGGCTAATAACAATTCACTAAACAGTTAGCAATCACACAAAAGGATACTGTGAAACGGAAAAAAATCATTGAAAATAAAACTTACGCTTTTAAGAATCCTTTGTTCACAGTTACTCAGTGGTTTTTGTTTGTTTATACTATTAGTTACAGAGCATGACGGAGATTCAGTGGAATAGGTTGATTTTAAAATCTACAGTTTCAAAACGAAATATATTAAGGAAAATCTGATGAAAAAAGGAAATACGATGGAATAATTGTTCAGAGTATTTCATTGTTTCTGGATAGTAGAGTAATTGTGGACAGGCGATTAATTGCTAAAATTACTGAATACACAAGGAATCCAGACACTAGAGAAAATGCACTTCCGTCTATAAAAAAATTAGCAAGTGAATTATTACAGACTTTCCTTTGTACACTCTTAAGGCAGTTTTACACTCACTGTCTGACAAAAACGCTATTTGTATAATTACTACGAAGGATTCAAATTAATCCATTGTTGATAATCTTGACTGAATCTTGATCAGTTTTTATTGACATAAATGCATTGTAGCAAACTCTTTTCAACTATATGAACATAAAAACTACTTTTCTATGGGCAGATAAAAATGTAATTGTATTTCTAGTAATTGCTTTTTGTAGCTCAGATATTTGATCAGTTATGTATATTCCAATGTACGCGTGAATGTGTGCATATCCAGTGTCTCCTTTCATATATTCTCTTATTGGTTGTAGATATACTCAATAAGTAATTAACATATACACTCATATTTAAATTTGCATATATTCTATTCTGGTCTGAATTATAAACACTTGGTCTGCTAATGCTTCTGTAAAAATATAAATTCCAACCAATTTCATATTTGGCTTTTCAATATCTCAAGTGGAAATAAAGTTAACTATAAATCGAGATTTAGCCTAAGAATGCATAGAAAGTTAACCGAGTGTGATTTAAGGTCAGATTTAGACACTAATTAACAAGTGTTCAGTCGTTGTAAGAGTATCATGTGCGGACTGCCTCCGTCTAGACACCTTTCACAAATATTTATAGAATAGGTGAATTTCTGACTAGCGGTGAAATTCAGGACGTGCGTTCAGTCCTATTTGGAGCTCGTTAGCTGGATTTACGTACATGAAAATGTTGATGTACACGCCAGGACTCAAACCTATTACCTTTAGCATCAAACGTCCAAAGTGTTATCATTCATTGAGTTACTTATTCCACAGGATATCAATATCATTATTTGAACACCAACACTGGTAGAATGCAGGTATATCCAGCTGACGAGTTTCAAGCAGAACAAAGTGCGCGTGTTGAATTTTGCTACCGGCCACAAGTCCATCTATACCACAAACTCTAATCGCCTATGAAGCATACAGGACAATCAACAGAATATTAACACATAAAAAATTAACCAAATTATCAAGAAACTTATGCTGATGACTTCATGGGGTTATATTGTACCAAAGAAATAAAAATTAGGAGACTCACGCTACTATTACTGGAGGAAACTACTTCATGCAGTGGATTACGCTGTCGTTCTCTCAGACGAACTATCGGCAGGGAACTGGGAGTATTTACAGGATTACAAGAATAAGATTTTGATCTATTAAGTGTGTATGAAGAAAATCTCGGATTTCCAAGTGAACTATTAGTATCTGTCAACGATATACTCGATATAATAGGGGATGAAACAGTAATGGCAGATGTCAAAGCAGTGGGAGAATGAGTTGAAACGAATTTTCGTGGACGCTTAGCATCAGACTTGAGAAAACATAGTAAACAATGAATTAAAAAACGGATTTCTACAGTATATGAGGAACAAAAAATACGAAAAGTTATAAACGAATAACATTTGGCAACGAAAATGACAGTCGATCAACACTTCACTATCCATTTAGCAAAGGTGGTATGGTTTAAACTGTGACACAGAGACAAATCCTAACATGTCTTTGAGATGTGATTGAAAGTAACCCAATAAATATTCGTCCAATAACCAATTTACCAAGTATAGTTCTATGCAATATAATGTGGACTACCTGGCACCTCAACCTAGAGAGAATAAGGTAGGGTTTGAACCTACTTCCTACTATTTAAGAGCCCATTGTTGTGATCCACAAGCTTTGCTTTTAATTGGATTATTTGATAGTACTTGATCTCACCGATTTAATCTACACTCAAGTTTAAAATTAAAACGATGGCAGTAACAATATGAAAACTGGATGAAAAACAAAACAATCAAAGTGTTTTTAAGCAGATTTTATATGGGTATTAATGGATTCCCCTGACTACACACTATTTGATCAACTTAATTCCAGTTTTAAATTGTTAACCTTTATGAGGTCGCCTAACTTATTTGAGGTAGGTCCCTCTTTCACAAACTATTTTACAAATAGTCGAGAGAAAAAAAGATCTTTACACTGGGAAAATTGTCAATTTCTCTTAGACTTTAACTTATTTGATGTATCGTGGTTAATACACTATTGAACATCTATGTTTATTTTCTGTTACTGATAGAAAAATGTTTTGTCTAGAAACAAACAAAAGTTCAAAGTTAAGATTGTTAACGATTTTATTAACTAATTTATTAAACACAGTTTTTCATATATTCGACGTTGCACAATGTAATACATTAAAAAGAGACAGCTGAAAGTAATAATGATTTTGGCATATACCGGTAAAATGCAAGAAAGATAATAAAGTCTAGTTTGTAATAAAATGATACGTATAGAATTACAGCATACACTGATTGGTAACATTAACTGAAGGTTACTGCTTAGTAGATATAAATAGATTTTTACATCACTTACCTGTAGTTCATTCCCAGAAATCGGCTTCAGAATACAACCCATTAGTGGTTTAACCCAAGTCCCCTTCGGCGAAAATTTCCTCTTTATTCCTTGAACGAACTAGATAGGTAGAATAACAATAATGATAAAAATGATATTTTTGTAGTAAGAAATCAGAATGTGTAATTGTGATTCAACTTCGACAATAATCATAGAAGTGTTAATAAAACGAGGACAAGAGATTGGTGAAATTTGAACCGTATTTAGGCTATTAGTATACAAATAATAAATGGTAACTTCTTGTGAATGAACTAACGTCATTGCAGGATTTCCTAATGAAATGATAGACTGGTCAGAATACAAATACTGTTGATGTGCTACATTCACAACGTCCATCCTTTTCTATATATTCCATGATCATTTGAAAAAAATGCTCACTATTAATGTGTCCATAGCTTAGAACTGTAGTGTATCACACAGTGAGTACTGTGCTTATCTATTCCCCAAATATGCGTTGATAGGATGATTAACAATAGATCTTGAAATTTCACAAAAAACCCATTGGCTACGTTCGTCAGTGATAGAACTATCGGTAAGACAGTTTTGAGATTTAGCACAATCTTTGAGAACTTCGAACGACTGAGATTCATAATCTGCAATTTAAAAATATCCGACTATGACTAAAAGAAGTGTGATGATAATTGGGTCAGACATATATAGAAAAAAGACGCCGTATCAAATCACTGAATATCAATTTGGTCCATGAAATCAGAACACTTTTAATCAAAGTTAGTCATGAGTTTCTCTACAAACTGTCATAATCGAAATTCATTAAAATCTAAGATATCAGACATACAGCATATTTATAACACAATAATAAAAACGAGACATTAATTAATGAATGACGAGAACTAACCTGAACAACTGAGTCCCGTACACAATTAACAATAGATGGATCCTTATGAAGGGTCGGCGATGTTGCGTTTATGGTTACATCAACACTTTGACCTGAAAATAAAACATAGTATCATTAGTGTGACTTGACAAATAAATATTTATGGCTCAGGGGTCTATTGGTTAAGCGCTCGCGTGCGAGACTGATAGGTCCTGGGTTCGAATCTCGTGAGGCGAGGTCGTGGATGCGCACTGCTGCGGATTCCCACAATGGGACGCAACAGCCGTCCAGTGCTTCCAAGCGTTTCATGGTGGTCTAGCTTCAATTGACTCATGATCTCAACCATTGAAATATATGTGTTTATATACTAAGATTTTTGAACCATACGTCCAGTGTGAAAGCCAATGATACCAACAACTGAATACGATTGTCTAGCAAGCGACAAATAAAAGGTTCGCAGCCGCTTACATAAATCAACTCCAAAGACTATGACATCATGAATGGATAAAACCCCTAAGTCCAACAGCTACTTACCCTCCTCAAAACAAACTACCACGTTGGGAGTGGGAAGTGGCTGCCAGACATTATTTATTTATTTGAACATATAAATATTGGTACAAGGGGGCACCAAATATATATGCGCCACACAAAACAATGAGAATGGGAAGGAAAAAAAGAGGGTAAGAAGCGTAAAAGAAAAAAAAGAACAACAACGACCAGATTAGTGTAAGGTAGTGTAATAATAATAATGATAATAATAATGGGGGAGACGGAAACGTATAACCAGAAGAAATCTTTCAGGTAAGGAAGATGCAACCTCTTTTTTATGAAGAAAGTAAAAGAAGGTTACAGCAGGATCGCCATTGGCTTCTATTCTAAGCCATATCTTGTAACTTCTCTAGCCACTGTGTTGCACTATCTCTCGGACCCCAGCCAGGGAGTCGTGAAGGACCAACACAAGCCAGCCCTTTGCTGAATTCTTTCATACCACTACACCATGTCATACACTGACCACCTCTCCACTTTTTCCGACCGGTATCAGCGTCGGCAAATAATGCACGAAGTGGAATTCTCTGGGAAGACATTCGGAGAACATGTCCAAGTCACCCAAGTCGGTGTTTCAAGATGGTAACACATATTGCATTATCGTCTCTGTGACCGAACACACGATGCCAAACCTCTGCATTACTAACATGGTGTTGCCACTGGATGTCAGCAATCCTTCGGAGACAACGATGATCGAACACAGAGAGTCGTCTAATGTCCTCAACTCGGAGAGGCCAGGTTTCACAAGCATAGAGCAAAACTGCTATCACCGACGCGTTGTAGATCCGAACTTTTACAGCCAGACTGACATTACGAAGGCACCAAAGATGGCCCAGATTGGTATAATCCGCTTTGGCCTTCACTATACTTGTATCGATCTCATCACTCACGCCACCACCAGCACTTATGCAGCTACCTAAATACAAGAACTTCTCGACTAATTCTATCTGTTCACCATCCAGGGTGAGTACAGGATTAGGATCCTGCCAGACATATTCCAAACACCTTGACAGAAAATGATTCATAAACTCATGAAAAATCTTTACAACGGTCAACAGACACAAACAGTTAATAGATATTAAAAAGAAATACCCATACAATAAAGCGTACTCAAAACTTCGAAGGATAAAATAATACGAAACAGTAGAAATAGTAGATCTATTTACCATTCATATTTTGTTCGTCAGTATTAGAAACAATGGAGTGATTTTTTAAATCAGTTTTATTGCACAACCCACAGGTTGATTCAAGCAGTGGGTCGGTTATCTGGAATAAAATGAGAGAAATAAAATAGAATCATATGTTAAACACAATAATGAAGCATCTCGAGTGAAACAAATGCATACTACACTTTAATTCTCAATGTTCATTATCACCTGGGACTTTTAAAGACAGTTTCACGTTTCAATAGTAAATCCATCAATTAAAAACCATGATACCTTCTAAAAAAAGGGGTGGACAAATTCACTAAAAACAGACAACCACAAAAACTGATAGTTCACCCAAAATGTCAAAGCATAATGTCTAAAGAAGAAACTCTGACAACCACAACTATGTTTTATGATAAAACAATCCGTTGATAGTACATAGAACGATTCTACAAGTAATTTACTGTACAAGTTAAGAGTAGCTACCATAGTATTAACAACGGTTAATCTTAACTATATACATAGGAAATTGACAGCAATTTTAACCATTCACAAAACATCTTACGTAAAATTGCTAAATAGATTCCAGGTGTTTTAGTGTTTAATATAAATAAATATGAAGAGATGATTTTAAAAAGAAACAACCTTGAAAAAACATGGAATTTCGGGTTAATTCTCACATTTTTATTAACGTTACCTACCAAACAAGGAACAAATGAATATAAGGCATTATTATAATTATTAGCTCATATGTTAACAGCAAACACTAACCTGTCCATCTGAGTTAATTTCCGTAACTGAAGAAATCGAAGTTTTCAGATTTGAGAAATCGCTTGCTGATATAATAATAATAATAATAATAATAATAATAATAATAATAATAATAATAATAATAATAATAATAATAATAATAATATCAATAATAATAATAATAGTATAGAAACAAAATTTTATAATTACTATCTGAGAGACCCTAAATTCGAATTCCAAGAGAAATGTAATTAGTAGATGTGTGCATGTGTATGTAGACTGCATACCACTTACAGAAACTTCGCTCAGTTAAAAGAGAATATTACTAAGATCTGACCTGTAGTAAAATTGTTAAGTCTTTACGATTAGTTTTTTTTCAAATGACTTGAAACGATTTTTGGTAATTGGCTAAAAAGCTTGAATTTAAAATTCTATAACAATGAACACAAGTTATAGGTGTTCATATGCTGGTCCTGACTGAAACATACAACGACATGAAAGCTAAGACGTTGATTAGGGTATATAAACCACTTTTTCTAATAGCATGCCTCATTTGTGATTTATCGCCTACCGCGTACTGTTGAGACATGCGATTTCATCTGGCTTTCAAAATATGAAACGTATAAACTCACTTCCCCTTCTGTGAGATTTTTCTGTTGGCATTCAATCGAAGTGAGGAGACATCAATCATTGACCCCCAAATGCCCTGGTACGGCCGAGAGTGGGGAGAATCCGCTCCCTCTCTCGAAATGCTCTCACATGGCCACGCGTATATAGCCTTTGCCATGGAAGTCCTACTCACTGCCTTCTTGTAGCGGGAGTGTTGTTTACGAAATTGAGAGGACGACAAGCGGATGTCCGGCGCTTTAACCGGGTTGGTGGACATGGAGGGCCCACCTAGGGGAGTTGGAAAACCCTGATTCCAAACCAATGGTGCACATGTGTTCCAGTATCCTGAAGGAAAAAATGGCGTATGAACCAATCGTTGGTCACTGGCCACCATGAGAATGCATCTCCTTACGTTGCCCCACTGCCTTGTGGATCAGACGTTCAGGTCGGAGGCTCCGGGTGTGGTCCCCTAAGAAAACCACCTGCTTCGGTTTGGGCACCCGGACAGTATCACAGCCCTCACACATATCAAATGAGATCTGTGTGGTGCATATGTATTTGGCGCCTCCTTGTAACAATATCTATGTGTTAAAATAAATAATAATAATAATGAAGACTCCTGACCAGAACTGTACAAAGAGCCGTAGACTTATTGGTTGTAGTCAAAAAAGAAGCAAAGATATTCTACTTATAAGTCAAATGTAATGGATATTTAAAAACTATAACATCAGTAATTAGATAAATGACTTACCATTCTGAACAGAAAAATACTGAGTACTGGGTGAATATGATTTATTGTCTTGAGACTCGGAAACTGACGCCTGCTTAAAAGTTCGGAATAAAAAAAGCTTAAAATTGTATCAGAAAATCCAAATGTACGACTGAATAAAAAAATATAGCAATCTAAGCTCGTACTACATATTTCGACAGAAAAATATGCAGGCTAGTGGTAAGTAGAGTGAACGGGAGTGTAGTTCAAATCATGTTAGAAAATAATGCTTATACAAATTGCAACTTTGCCAGTTATAAATTTTCATAGTTTCTATGAATAACCTATTTAAAAGCCTTATGGAAAGTTAAGCAACCTCTAAATAACACATGAAGTATCTTGCAATCACAGATAGCGAAAACAGTATTTAGGCTAACTATAATGACAGACATATACAGAGAATCCTATATAATTGATTTGATTTTTATAAGTCTTCTTTCAGAAAACCTAAATTTTCTTTTAAATTATGTCTCATTCTGAATAATGAAAGTTATTAGTGACTAGCACTAAAATTTGCGTTAACTTCTCTAAGCAAAGGATTCCCACTACCAGAAATTTATGCAACGTGACAAGCTAATTTAGATTCCAGTACAACAACAATTCGAGTAAGAATTGTTGTATGAGAGTTACAAACGGTACTCTACCCAAAGTCCTACCAAAGATATGAACGCACTGAATAATACACATATTGATCTGCAACTCGACAGTGGTATTCAGGACGAAATCTTAAGGATTCGCACGGCCAGATAAATGAAGAAAACATTTTATGCCGATACACTGCAGTTTCACAAATCAAAACGCAAAAAATTGTTAATAACACTGTTCATCTCATATAAAACGGAATGAATAGTTTTTGGAAGTGAAAACACCAAAAAGAAACTTCTCATTGAAATGTTTAGTTTAAATCAGAGTTATGCTAATCTATTTCGAAAGTTTGTAAGTTCTGATATCTAACGCATTTCAGTCCCAACAAGTCATTCCAACTAAGGTCTGTCAGTTTGGTTCCGCAGTTGTAAAAGCTTTTCATAATCTCTTCGTCGATACTCTTCGAAACTTTGTTTACTCTGAACGATATCACTACTAATAAAGTTTGTTGTATTCTGAATTATATACGTCGATCAGTCGTTGAGTTAGAATCCTTGGATGGATTATATACTTATCAAATATTTTTTGACAGCACAGTAAAGTAGCACGATTTGTACAGACACATCAAAAAACAATCAGGACAAAACGTAAAAGTATAACAACCTATATATTGTATAATAAAATAAATAAGATAGAAATAAACAGATAAAATTTTGAACAGCAGCGATATTTATGAAATTGGGACTTACCTGAGAATGTGCTACTGCGGAAGTGATTATATTTGTATTATTGTTTGGAGATAACTTAGCAGAAGGCGTTAATATTTCACTAGTCATAAAATTATTGGAGAGATTTGTAAGTTCAATAGAGTAATCTGTAATAACATAAAAAATTCAACTAGCAGATTTATTTTACTCTACGTAATTGTGGTAAAATACTCGTATCGTGACTGGTGATCGGTAAACATTCAGAGTGACCATTCAAATAAATGCTGAAAGTGACGTGTAAATCTCAGAACAGAGCCAGTAGTGTTAGAATTGTTGAATTTACGTATTCACACCTTAATCAATCACTAGAAAAAAGTCATTATTCAGAATCAAGTTGATAATTCTCAATCCCGAGTATACTTTCTAGTTTATAAACTGATGTTTTGTTTTTACTATTAACAACTAACTTTAAGATGTGATCGGGATATCTTTAATTCCTATTGGTCCAGAACCCATACCCTTCTATTCCCTCATTAAGTCGGACACCAAAACACGACGAGCAAGTAAACCTTCTATCTTTCCTCAATCATCCAATAATCCATTCTTCCAGTTACCATAACTTAAACAGTCATAAAATTATATACATTAATTCACAGATTACACCACACCCCATATAAGAAATCATAGTTTATGGACGACTAGATCATAATTGTTTTTAAAAAAACGGATGAAAAGTTGAACAATAAGTTGGGAACAGAAGACGTATAACAATAGTTAATGAGTCCGAGCGGAAGCTACAATGCAGGGAATATAAAAACCCAACAATCTAATTACCTAGTCATTATTCAATAAAGAAACAAATAAGAGTTCTCCGTAAAAATGTTGCAAAAGTTAAAAATCTCCCAATATTCGCTCCATTGCAATAATTAGCTGACCAAAAACTTAAATAAGATCAGAGAACGAAAAGTATGATATAGTAACACATTTCAAGATTTAGAGGTAAATAAAGATGGAATGAATCTATCATAGCGTATATGATACTGAGCCAAAATATTCAAGATCTCAAACCACAGGCTACAATTATCGTGAGGCACGCAACTAGAAAGTTTATACTTCCCGTAAACAGTTTAAATTAATAGTCAATTACAATATGGACTAATGATGTCCACCCTGGTAACCTGTTGTTTATTTTCAAAAAAGATTTAAGATATAACAAGGACACGTACGAATAAGATAATGTCTCTAAACGTAATAAAAATAAAGGGTGACTCATAAGGAGAGATTTGCAACGGAAAAAATACAGAAGTTTAGATCTACACTACACAATTCATATTAACTATTTTTAACATATATTCAATCTAAAAGGGAAACTAAGATATTTCTCATTTTAAATGAGCGTTCATTAACTTTGTATTTATATCTGACTATAATTTACTTATCTCTAAAGTTTGTATTTTGCATATAATTCGATTGACCCTATTTGGACAACAGTGATATTAAAAGCTATAGATTCAACATGATGGGAAGATTGTATTTCAGGCAAGCGTATTAGCAAACAAACAGTATAATCGCGTAAATTCAGTGTTGGAATTGACAATACCAGCTAATTTGTTATATAATTTTGTGCCTCAGTCACTTTTCAAATGGACGAAGGGTAAAATCAACGAACGAAGATAGACAACTACACATGACAAATGTACATAGATGAGAGGTTACAAGAAGCTGTATACAACATAACCAATAAATATGACTATAATGACCTGAACAAGGGTCACATAAGTGTTCTGATTTGTATCAGTTAACACAAGCCCTTGCTATCAAACCTATTATGTCAACTTAGGATTAATTGTAAATCATTATTTCCCTATGATCAAACAGCTTTAATGGTAAAATATAATGGGCGAACCTATAATAGATTGTCTGATCAACAGCGAACAGTTTGGGGAGAAGAATATTGAGTGCCAAAAATGTCATTTTTGATGTAACTTTTTCTCTGTCCTTTAACTGGATCATTGTCCAAATATTTTACATATAAGCGTAACAAAATGAAAATCAGATGATAGATTTCGTGAATAACAAAAAAATGGGAAATAACGATCGTGCCTAATTTGAATGGAAGTTACTGAAGTCACACATCTTCGCCTGATAAAGCTATACTATAGGGACGGCTTTACGAGATTTAACAAGTAACCCTAAAACCAACAAATCGGATGCTAGCCAATAAGAGTATAAATTTTGTGAAAGAGTTAGGGTTTTTATCACGAACTGACGTCAGTTATGATGCAAGTCCTAAAATCAAGCTCTACATCCTAATTTTTAGCACAATACGTAAATCGTTCATCATTGGCATCGCCTGACTGGCTATAAGTGCTGGGACTTGAAGGTTGTTCGCAGGTATAATTCAACCTTATTTTTACTTATTATCCCTACCGTTCTAACATTAACACATCCTGAATCGCACTGTTCATCCCACAAGAAGAGCAATACCCATAAAATACAAAATCCAGTCGAAAGCATTATATCTATCAACAAGTTATCCATAATGAGTTTTAAATTCGCGCTAATATTTAACATCGACAATCTTGATTTCAATTAGTCACTTAAGGGCGTCCGTACAACATAATTTTGCCCCTACATCTGCACTATTTGTCCACACAAATACTGAAATATAAAACACGTGACTTTTTCATAACTGCATGATGCAGTCAGTCGAAAGTACTATTGAAAAACTACCTTTCCACAAATACATGTGGAAATTCAAGTACTCATCGTATTAGATATAAACAAATGTCAGCAATTTCTTACCGTCATTGCTGTCGAAGAGATCCTTGAAAAGTGATGAGTCTTTTGAAAAGGGTGAGGTTGAATGCATCATTGTAGCTTCTGTGATTGGGATATTCTGTTTGAATAAAAAATAAAATAAGAATTTCAATTCAGATATTTGAAAGCACAAAAAGTAAGGGGACTTGTTTCTAACTAGCTATTCAACACGGTCGCACATTAATATGTCATAGAACAAATTACAAAATTATAAATCAGAAAACCTTACGAAGACAATGATGGATGACCAGAGCAAGAATAGGGGGTCGATACTATGCCCAAAGATTAGACGCAACAGTCAGCTCTTTATTGATTAAATAATGAGTGATCTACAAATTGATTTACCCCAATCACTTATAACATTTTATCACGATTATTTTTCATTCATACTCTGTGTATAAGCATGTTATTTTATTACATGGAAAACTATTCATCTGCCTAGTGGTTTTGTCTTTGATTTCCAATCATTCGGGGGTGTAACTCAATTAAACGGTCTCGTGAGTAGCCATTCCTTCAGTCGAATTATATTGTTGACTTCATCTATTGATTAGTATTCTAGTCATCGATTTTAACATTCAGCATTTCGACTGATCAAATAACAGAAATCATCATACATAACAGTACTTATAATATCCAAGACTATTACTTAGTGAATGAACCGAAGCATGTAGTTACAAAACCGACAAGTTGTATAATGACCAGCAAAAGTCACGAAATTTTTTACGAGGTTGAATATTAATAACAGTTACGTAGTCAGTCAGTCAGTCAGCTGCAATGCACATATATGCATCAGTCCAAGTTGCCATACCTCATTAACGCGACAAGATGGACACCGGATTCATAAAAGCAGTTAATTCAGAGGTGGTAATATATAAAAGAAAGATTGCAATGAGGATATAGTACAGGAGGAAAGAATTGGTTCATAAAAAGAAAGATATGAAGCGATTTTAATCTCTCAGTTTAAGGGAAGACAGAGAGTGTATACACCGACGCCATTGTGATCGATTCTCAGCCATGTCATCAAGAGTCTCCAACCATTGGTTACGATAATCACGCGGACCACAACCAAGTAGTCTGCATCTACCAACATGGCTCAGACTAGAAGTTAATGACTTCAAGCACTGATGCCACGTTTTGATTTGGCCGCCCCTAACTTTCTTCCAACCATCCCGAACACCAGTTAGCATTGCATGTCGTGGTAATCGGTGTTAGGCCATACGTAACACGTGGCCCAACCATCTCAGTCGATGAAGATTCACAACCTCATCAACTGATTTATCGTCATTCCCTAATACCCTACGTCTAACCTCACTATTACTTTCCCGGTGATCCCAGCAGACGCTAGCAATATTTCGAAGGCATTTGTGGTCAAATACTAGCAGCTTACGAGTGTCTTCAACTCTTAATGGCCATGTTTCGCTGCCGTAAATTAAAACAGAACGGACTGCCGCGCAGTATACTCGTCCTTTTATTGATAGACGGATATCTCGTCTTCGCCATAGGTGAAGTTGGCAAAAGCCAAGCGAGCTTTTTGAATCCGTGCTGAGATTTCGTTAGACACCAACTCATTAGGACTGATCAGACTTCCAAGATAAGTGAAGTTGTCAACGCGTTCGACTACTTCAATCCCTATCCTTAGTTCAGGTGTTGATGCAGATCAGTCCTGAAGCAGCAGCTTGCAGTTACGTAAGAAATAAAAGATGAATATTAGTAATGATTATGTGAGGAACAAAACCCAAGAAGTTTAATTCAGAAGAGAAAAAAGAAGTCGAAGAATATTACATTGGCAACTTAGGGTAGTTTGTATCGGATTAAGTCGTATTGATTAGCAAGGTAATGAGGTTAGTACGGTAGATTTCTCTTCAATACATATTGTTAGTTTTTGCAGATGTAACCCAATGTTCTCGGTTGTTTACAGCACATTAAATGGGATACGATAAACAACTTGAAAGTGTATTTAAGTCGGCTTCATATCCGATATGAATCAAGTGATGAAAAATGTAGCCTTGATCGGTTTAATAATTTTCTTATATGCATAGAAATATTACTGTATATTAGGGTAAAGCCTGATGAGGATCTAATCAAGAACTATATGTTGTTCCAATCTAAATCAACTTCAACAGCTCTTTATATCGTTAAGAAAGATGAAGTTGAGAAATAATAATTCAAAAAAATACCTCTTGAAGCCAGTCACTAGTGAGCACATGATAATTATTATCAGAAGGGTTTCTTGTGGAGATTGTAATAATTTAATAGTTGAGTTTAAAAAAAATTGAAATTTATATTATACATTGTAATATGCAGCAAAAATAATCATATCGATTTAGTACAAAAGTACTTAAAAAGTCTGTTTATAACATTTTTTATTTTGTCTATTCAAGTTATTTGCTAGTGAGTTATCTATGTAAATTGTTTTAATGATTAGCCTAAATTATCTCAAGTGTAACTGAGAAGAAACAAAATACGATTAATTTGGCCTATTTAGTAAAATTTGTATTTTCCTCTGTTTACATTCGTACAGGGAAACCAAGTAAATGGATAGTTTTCATAATGCTGCTAAAATAATCACCAATACACTGTTAGACACAATATGAGATAAAACTATAAACATCAAGATGGAAAATCACATTTGAGTGTGAAAAAGACCTTGTATAAAAACCCACTTCTTTATTTTCAATAACTGTTGAGGAATTTGTGACCACATAATTTGTTGGTTTGTCAACAGCGAAAACACCAGGCAAGCTATCAACAATAAACGACGTTCTTAAAGGAGGGTATTGTTGGGGAGGATCTTCTGTCGGAGGTATATTAGAGCATGGTCCGAGAAAGTCACTGACAATAAAATCAAGAATTAGGGCAACAAAAAAGTTATAAAACAAAATGAACACAGAAAATGGTATTCTTAGTTGACTCGACTGAGAATTGGCCATAGCTGCTTAAGACGATAAAGAAATCCAGTTGATTTAAAACATTCGTTTACGAGCATAGTAGAGACAACAATTCAATCAACAACAAAAAAACTCCCGTTCAGGTGACATAACCAGTAGCTAATACTGTTTCCGCAATACGAAATTGTTAGAGCTCGCTAGTGAGACGAACGATGTTGTAACAGGTTTTAGTATAAAGGCACACAGTACTGACAACTCATGAAAATAACCGCTTCCTAAAATATTTGCTCGTAGGATTTATTCGTGCAGTGCATACCAAGGATTCAACCATACAGGTTTCATTAGAGGGTATTTCTTATTGGTGCATCGTCAAAGCTTGAGTGGCTTGCTTAACGACGCGTTTTGTAACCAGTTTAATTTTTTGAACGTAACAGGAAATTGTGCTGGTGGCACGTGATGAGTTGTGTGTACGACTCACAATTTGACTTTGACACAAATGTAGCTCCCAACAATCGACTGTTACTAATGCTTAAGGATAAGGTTGATGGGAGTTATCCGTGACATACATTTTATGTTTGGGTTTAAATCATTCCAGAGCAAAAACAAGCTATAATTTCAGTAGAAATGAGTATGTCAAAAATAGTGCGTAACCCACGACTCATGACACATACTGCAAGTAAAACTCCATCGGGCGAAGCTGCATTTAGTGTTTTCAGTTGATATAGCTAGTCAATTGCTCTGTATACATATAACACGCCTTAACTATCTCAATACATAATTTCGGTGTATGATTCATTCATTTTAGGCAAACCACTAACGGAAATTAAAGTCAAATTTTCATTGACAGAAAAAATTTATCATCAGAAACCAATTAAATATAGTTCATACCATTTATTTTTATTAACACCAACACGTTTCTTTTTGGATATGGCTTTTTTCCGCACTGGTAAGCTAAGAGGAAGGTAAATATAACGATACATAGAAACTTACAGTGGAAGAATAAGGTTTTTATTCGTGTCGCCGATAGCTTCAGTCCTAAAATAATTAGTACACAGACATTCAATGGAGTCAAAATAAAATGAAAGTTTTACTCTCAGAAAATAGTATAATACATCTAAAAAACTAAGTGTTCCGTGATTACTGTAAAAACGACTGACTATAAAACAGGAACATACCAGATACACCGTTTAACACTTTAAAGAAATAAATTTTGATAGTTCAATAAGACAAAACCAAATCGAACTGTTCGATCTATAGAGCGCAAAACAAAATTAAATATTCACTGAAATCATGAACCGATCAATGTTAGAAAACCATTAAAAACCTGGGAGTACTAGACGGCCGTTTCGTCCCAATATAGGACACCTTAGCAGTACGCATCTACGACCCCTCACGCAGCAATCGAACTCAAGACCTTCGATCTCGCGCTCAAACGCTTAACCTCTAGACTACTGAGCCGGCATCCATATTGAGCGACTGTCTCCCATTGTTGTTAGATCCCAGTGCTTCCAGGTTTTTAATGGTGATCTAACACTGGTTGGTTCACGACTTTAATGAAACTCAACAATCTCTGTAACCCAATACTTAAAATAGAATATTGCTGACTAATTAAAAGTCAACTCAAAAACGACCTACGGCTACCAGCTTGTTAGGCCTGAGGGAATTTACCAGAGAGACAAGAAATCACTAACGCCATATTATGATTGTAACGATTTTACCAAGTACAGACTGATGTATTTGGCTTTGAGTCACTCAATTTTAGTGTGAGGGTTAGAAATATTACATGGTTGGACGGACTGAAGGTGACGCAGGGTTCGGACCTTAGACCTATCGGTTGATCGTTTGGTGAGCTTTCGTTATCAGAAATGTATAAAGCGGAAGACTTAATGGAACAGGAACTCATGGAATTAAAGTAGTAAACAATCTGCTATCCATCTGCCTTGCTTCTGCATAACACGACTATATACATGATACGGTCACTCGTTTATAAATCCAAGTTAATAGTTCAATAAAAAAACTCACACTCCAATCATCTGAGAGAAAACTGTTGCATTGGTATGAAATTCCTGGATAATTGAAAAAGATTCAATAAAAGCAAAGTGCTCCTTCTGAAAGATGAACATATTAATGAGTAATGAAAAAACCTTCTCTTCAAGGTACTGAACAGAATAGCTCAAAATTCTAATTAACCAAAAGCATGTTTCGATAACGCGTATACGGCGACTAAACCCGTGCTAGCAGAAAAGCAAATATTGTAGATATACCTGCACTTGGGTAAAGGGTCACGTACATAGGACATGAATTTCGCGCTAATCCATAAGTTACCATCATAGATCCTAGGACACTATAAACGTCAAGTTAGAGCAAACTTTTTACTTGATTAGATGTAGACAGTACAGCGAAAGGCTCCTCTACGTCACAGCAAAGAAGGCTACCCATAGTTGATCGACTTGCCGTAAAAATAAATGGAGTGACTCGAAGTAACTGAATTGCAAGTCGTTTATCAGGAACAGACCTCGCCCAGTGTGTATTTAACTTTTTTTGAAGTGAACCAGTCATACTTCAAAAATCTGAAAAATAAGATTTAATATTGAAAATTATGACAAAATTATCTGAAAGACGGAATTCGTCGATTAGTGATTTAAGAGGTAATCAGACTGGCGTGGAAAGCGTGGATTTTATTTGCTTATGTGTAATTCAAAAATCGCCAATAAGAAACAATTGGAATACAAAAAACAAATCATATGAGGAAACAAGAGGAGAGTTATTGAATAACAGCACGACCGAGGTGATTGAATGCGTAAATAAACCAAATAAAATTTACTTCTCCTAGGAAACACCAATTGTATGTAGGGATTGATATGAATGGGTTTACCTTCTATCCTTACTACTGAAGACTGAAGTAGGTGTGGAGGCGAGACTCTAAATTCTGGACGATCTTTGAACGAACCTTAGTGACTTTGAGAAATATTCACCAATCAGCAAACAGTCTGTATAGAGTGAAAAGATGTTACAAAACCAAAGAAATGAAGTAGATACACTTCTTACACGTGGTTCGAAAACTTGTCAAGGTTAGAAAGAGGTTCAGAGATAGAGGAAGTCGTCCTTACAGCTACAGACTAGTCGGCCTCTGGAGCCATGATAACGTCTCAAAAACTCTTTCAGCCTCGACCGCATAGCTTCAATATTTTTTATGTGTACTCTGGTTGTTGAGTGCACAAAGTGCTACTTTTGGATATAGACACGATGCACATAACCAGGCCTGTGCAGGAGTCTGTACGCTATCCAAACATCCGTATATATTGCAGTACCTGGCTGCAGCCAGTGTTACTGGTGCTTTCATTATCCAGTTCGCGATAATTTACCTTAGTTAGGAATTATATGTGGGGTTTTCATCACGAAATGACATCAGCTATAATGCCAGAAATTTATTTAGCCAAGTGGATGAAAGGCTTTCGCGTTAAAACCCGAGATTTATTATCTTATACCTGATTGATTCGTTCACAAATTATAGTCTCGCCATTTTATTTATCACGTTTTGTACAAAATCCCCTGTGAACCGAACGTACGTTAGCACTAAGCGACGTAACCTTGAAATCTCTAAAACGCCTCTGATTGGCTCGTCCATAAATTAGAGTCTCGCCGGTGTGGAATTAAAATCCGGTCACATTTACGATCAATAATTTTGAAGACTTCATGCCAAAAAAAATAAATGCGTTGTTTAAGATGCCGAAGATAAGCATGTAGAATAGACTACAAAACATTACAAGTGCCCGGACAAATATTTTACACGCTTTCTCTAGAGGCAATTACCCTACACCTAACTAGAACATACTTCCTGTTAGAAAATTCCCTCTTTTGTGCAGCTTTAACGAACTAATGTCTCACAAAATAGGCTTTTTTGCTTGGTGGATGAGACAAGGCTGTTTCCAGGATCCCCCAATGCTTTAGATCAGATTTCCATGTTAAACAAATTTTGGTCAACAATTTCGTAGGGAGAAAAAGAACATGGGGTGAAGCACGTTGCAGGTGGAAATAAATGCAAGAAAATACTTACATTTATCGCGAACCTGGAACTAAACATGAAACAGTTAGCCTCAAAAGGGCAGTGATTTTTGTGCTTGTTGTGATTATACTTGCTTTGGGTACTTATTGCACCAAAAAGCATTCTTGGTCTACTTTGACTTAAAGTACTTTGGTTAAAGTTTGAAACTTTCTGCTAAATTTTGTCCTGAGTACCTTTTTTTACTCCTGACTAACACTTGTGTTCACATTGTGATCATTTTGTGTTTTTTAAACCTTTTAAATCGAATTACAATGGTTGGTAAGACTCACAAATGTGGGCAACCAAATTGTTTGTTCCCCGTGGAGGAGGGAATGCAATGTGACGATTGTAAAAGGTGGTACCACAAAATGTGTACACGCCTAAGTCCGACGGCTTACAAAAGATGCTCGAAGCCTAACTCGCATTGGCTTTGTATGTTCTGCTGTACGGATAAAAAAGTACTAATTCGGGAGGCTATGGGCCTATTGGCTTTGGCCTGCAAGAAAAACGATGGCGGTGTTGTAACGGGTGTGACTGCAGGTTTTAGATACGCAGGGTTTATATCGATCGCTTCTGTGACAGTGGACACGTAAACATGTAAGGACGACCTAGTGCCCTGATTGGCCCTGCCTCGCTGTCTGTCCTAGCCAGTTGAGTCAAGAACACAAGTCACAGCCTCCGGGTTATGAATCATTGTATTTCAAACATACTCTATTTATATACCAAGCAAACAAACCACATCGTACCATAAAATAGGAAACAACATTTGTACAATATTTAACAAGTGAAATAAACATCGACTAATAAGAAATGTACATTTAAGGTTCAAGGACACCATTGAACTTAACATGGTAATTATTGGTCTCTTTTTCCGACTATCCTAACAGGCGGAAGCAATGATAACAAGAGCACTGACGGAGAAGAATGTGTCAGTGTAGTAAGTGCTGCTACCGGACCCGTTAAACACCTGACTGTGGTTGACGGGAACGTGAAATCTCCGTTGACATTAACGAGGAATGAAGTGCCGCTTGATATTGACATCGGCAGTCATACACCTCTAGCCGAAATAGAAGATCCGGATAAAACTGTTACCGTTCCACGTAGTCCAGGTGTGGCTGTCCTGACTGGTGACAAATGGACTTCAGTAAGGAGAAAAAGAAATGGGAAGAAAAAGACTGTGGGCAAAACGCAGCTGGTCAGCAAGGCATTGGAAGGGATGTTATCAGAAGAAAAATCCTCACTGTGTGACAAGACAGATCTCTCTGAGAGATCAGTCATTTTTCATAAGATAAGAGAATCTTCAGATACAGAACCAAAGGCGAGATTTGAACACGATCTCAATCATATTAAGACATCATTAAGTAAACTACTCCCAGATACAGTTTCAGGAGTCAGTATTTGTAAGCTTTATAGAATAGGAAAAAAGGTGGATTCCAAAAGTCCTCCGAAAAACCGCCTCCTGAAGGTTACATTCAACACGGTGGAAGAAAGGAACCTGATTCTAAGTAATTCACGTAAACTGATAGGATCCGGAATATATGTCCGTGAGGATCTCAGCCTAGCTGATCGTATTAAGAGACGAGCTGCAGAAGCGGGAATAAATGAGCGTTGCCAAAACGGGGAACGAAACCTTGTTCTTAAGGGTTTTCAAGTTGTAAAAGTTCGGAGCAAAACGATCCCCAAGCCACTCTGGGTGGCAAGGGAAAGCTCTCCACAGACTTAAAGCTATGCTACACAAATGCTCGCAGCCTACTAAATAAAATGGCGGAGCTCAAGTCAGTGGTGGATAAAGAGAAACCGGACGTTATTGCTGTCTCGGAAACTTGGTTAACGTCAGAAGTATTAGATAGTGAAATCCAGTTGACTGGTTTCATAACCAGTAGGGCTGATAGATTAAACCGTAAGGGAGGCGGGGTTATTCTGTACACGAAAAGTACCCTAACCATAAGATTAGCTGAGACAGTAGCACATGTTTCAGGGACATGTGAACTGGTGAGATGTAAGTTGAAATGTCGACGGCAAGATATTGAATTAGTTGTAGTATATCGCAGTCCAGAATGTGTAGCAGATGATTTTATCCTAGGCAAACTTAAGTCCTGGTCTAACAACGGTAAAAGTCTTGTAGTAGGCGACTTTAATGCACCACATATAAACTGGGTTAACTTAGAAGTAGGGTCATCCATATCGTCGTTCGACTCCAAACTGTTAGAAACCTCGATTGGATTAGCATTATTCCAACACATTAGAGATCCCGGAAGATACGACTTAAGAAACTCTTCCTCTCTTTTAGATTTAGTTTTCACACACGGTAATGACGTTGATCAAATGGCTTTATTCCCACCATTAGGGAGAAGTGACCATGCAGTCATCTTATTCAAATTCATGGCTGAGATTGCCTGTCAAACAGTTGCACCGGCCCGTCCCAACATATGTAAGGCAGATATGCAGGCAATTAACTCCGCAGCATCGGCTGAAAACTGGGAAGTTGACTCAAAGGCATCAGTACAAGAGGCATGGACTCTATTCAGGCAGTTATACAATCGGGCAACTCAACCATACATACCCTGGACTGTCCCAAAGAAAAAGAAGCACGGCCATCCCTGGATAGGCCGGGATATTCAACGTTCACTAAGACAAAAGAAGAAGTGCTGGGACGTTGCCATCCGCTTTGGCACAGCAGGTACTATGGAACGCTACAGATCGATAAGAAACGAGTGTATAACGAAAATTCGGGAAGCTCAAAGAAAATATGAAATGCAGCTGGCACGATCTGCACTCAAGCAACTCAAGAGAATATTCTCGTACATAAACTACAGAACAAGGACGCATCATTGGATTCCCAACCTAATTAAAGTAGGAAGTGAATCTGAAATGATAGAGGAAGGTCAAGAAAAAGCAGAGGCTACGGCTGACTATTTTGGGGCAGTTTTCATTCAGGAACCTCCTCTAGAGTAAGAACCAGACCCAAATACAGAATCAACAAACCAGCTGCTCACCGTGGACTTCGACCAAAACGATGTGCTTAAGGCTCTTAGCACCCTAAACATGGAGAAGTCAACAGGACCAGATGAACTACACCCCAAAATCTTGAGACATATTGCCCAATATATTGCGACCCCACTGACTGTGATATTCAATATGTCACTTGATCAAGGTGTGTTACCTATGGACTGGAAGGATGCAATCGTCACTCCCATACATAAAACAGGTCCACGACAAGTTCCATCGAATTACACGCCCGTAAGCCTCACCAGTGTGGTAATTAAAATACTGGAAAGAATAATCAAACGGACCATAACGGCATTTATGGAAACAAATAACTTGCTGAACATAGCACAACATGGTTTTAGAAAGGGTCTATCCTGTACAACGAACCTCCTTATAGCAAGGGAGTTCTGGATTAATGCGCTAGACAACGGAAACTCAGTGGATGTTGTCTACATAGACTTCAGTAAGGCTTTTGACAAGGTGCCAACTAATAGACTGCTATTGAGGTTGGAAAACCTTGGTATTTCCGGACCTCTTTTAAAATGGATTAAGAATTTCCTAGTAGGTCGTAGGCAAAAAGTAAGAATAAATTCCAAGTGCTCCATCTGGAGACCAGTACTTAGTGGAGTACCCCAAGGTTCCGTCCTAGGTCCTTTACTTTTTATAATGTAAGTTAATGATCTTACAAGTCTCCAGTGTTATTATACACTGACGATGTAAAAATTTGGCGAGTAATAACTGGAGACAAAGACGCATTTACTCTTCAGGCAGACTTAAATAATATGATAAGCTGGTCTAAGTGGCTGATGCCTATCAACGCGGAAAAGTGTGTCTACATGCACTTGGGGGATTCAAAGGTTAATAAGTACAACATAGGTGATGTGTCATTACCCGTAGTCCGCTCTCATAAATATCTAGGGGTGACAGTGAGCAATGATCTTAAGACGACTGCCCTTTGCCGGGAGGTCGCAGCCAAGATTCAGATTCAGATTTGTGTAGTAAGGACAGAAGGCTTACGGCCTATGTTATTCCTCTTCTAGTATGCTTCTGTGAGTATCCAGTCTTCTCTTGAAAGAGTCAATTGAAGGTGCGGACACCACTGCTTCAGGCAGCAGGTTCCAAGTATTGATGACTCGGTGTGAAAACCTGTATCCCACGGGTATTTTGTTCGTTCTTGGCTTTTCTACTCGCCTGCTATGTCCTCTAAGGTGTCCCGATCTAGTGGGAAGAGAGAGAATAAGTTAGGTCCGAAATCATTTCTCAGTATTCTGTACATCAAAATTAGATCTCCCCTTAGTCTGCGATAGGACAGAGTAAAGAGGTCCAGTTTTTCAAGCCGCTCTTTGTATGATAAACCCCGGAGTTCCGGAATGGCACGAGTAGCTGCCCTCTGTACATTTTCTAGTATGTCCGAGTCACCTTTTAAACAGGGGCTTGCAGCCTAAGCGCAGTTCTCTAGCTTGGTTCTCACTAAGAATGTGTATACTATGGTGAACATGGTAGTATCTAACTTAGTGAATGTCCTTTTTAAAGCCCAGAGGGTTCGAAACCCCTTGGCTGAGACCTCTCTAATGTCTTGGAATAATGCTAATCCAATCGAGGTTTCTAACAGTTTGGAGTCGAACGACGATATGGATGACCCTACTTCTAAGTTAACCCAGTTTATATGTGGTGCATTAAAGCCGCCTACTACAAGACTTTTACCGTTGTTAGACCAGGACTTAAGTTTGCCTAGGATAAAATCATCTGCTACACATTCTGGACTGCGATATACTACAACTAATTCAATATCTTGCCGTCGACATTTCAACTTACATCTCACCAGTTCACATGTCCCTGAAACATGTGCTACTGTCTCAGCTAATCTTATGGTTAGGGTACTTTTCGTGTACAGAATAACCCCGCCTCCCTTACGGTTTAATCTATCAGCCCTACTGGTTATGAAACCAGTCAACTGGATTTCACTATCTAATACTTCTGACGTTAACCAAGTTTCCGAGACAGCAATAACGTCCGGTTTCTCTTTATCCACCACTGACTTGAGCTCCGCCATTTTATTTAGTAGGCTGCGAGCATTTGTGTAGCATAGCTTTAAGTCTGTGGAGAGCTTTCCCTTGCCACCCAGAGTGGCTTGGGGATCGTTTTGCTCCGAACTTTTACAACTTGAAAACCCTTAAGAACAAGGTTTCGTTCCCCGTTTTGGCAACGCTCATTTGTTCCCGCTTCTGCAGCTCGTCTCTTAATACGATCAGCTAGGCTGAGATCCTCACGGACATATATTCCGGATCCTATCAGTTTACGTGAATTACTTAGAATCAGGTTCCTTTCTTCCACCGTGTTGAATGTAACCTTCAGGAGGCGGTTTTTCGGAGGACTTTTGGAATCCACCTTTTTTCCTATTCTATAAAGCTTACAAATACTGACTCCTGAAACTGTATCTGGGAGTAGTTTACTTAATGATGTCTTAATATGATTGAGATCGTGTTCAAATCTCGCCTTTGGTTCTGTATCTGAAGATTCTCTTATCTTATGAAAAATGACTGATCTCTCAGAGAGATCTGTCTTGTCACACAGTGAGGATTTTTCTTCTGATAACATCCCTTCCAATGCCTTGCTGACCAGCTGCGTTTTGCCCACAGTCTTTTTCTTCCCATTTCTTTTTCTCCTTACTGAAGTCCATTTGTCACCAGTCAGGACAGCCACACCTGGACTACGTGGAACGGTAACAGTTTTATCCGGATCTTCTATTTCGGCTAGAGGTGTATGACTGCCGATGTCAATATCAAGCGGCACTTCATTCCTCGTTAATGTCAACGGAGATTTCACGTTCCCGTCAACCACAGTCAGGTGTTTAACGGGTCCGGTAGCAGCACTTACTACACTGACACATTCTTCTCCGTCAGTGCTCTTGTTATCATTGCTTCCGCCTGTTAGGATAGTCGGAAAAAGAGACCAATAATTACCATGTTAAGTTCAATGGTGTCCTTGAACCTTAAATGTACATTTCTTATTAGTCGATGTTTATTTCACTTGTTAAATATTGTACAAATGTTGTTTCCTATTTTATGGTACGATGTGGTTTGTTTGCTTGGTATATAAATAGAGTATGTTTGAAATACAATGATTCATAACCCGGAGGCTGTGACTTGTGTTCTTGACTCAACTGGCTAGGACAGACAGCGAGGCAGGGCCAATCAGGGCACTAGGTCGTCCTTACATGTTTACGTGTCCACTGTCACAGAAGCGATCGATATAAACCCTGCGTATCTAAAACCTGCAGTCACACCCGTTACAACACCGCCATCGTTTTTCTTGCAGGCCAAAGCCAATAGGCCCATAGCCTCCCGAATTAGTACTTTTTTATCCGTACAGCAGAACATACAAAGCCAATGCGAGTTAGGCTTCGAGCATCTTTTGTAAGCCGTCGGACTTAGGCGTGTACACATTTTGTGGTACCACCTTTTACAATCGTCACATTGCATTCCCTCCTCCACGGGGAACAAACAATTTGGTTGCCCACATTTGTGAGTCTTACCAACCATTGTAATTCGATTTAAAAGGTTTAAAAAACACAAAATGATCACAATGTGAACACAAGTGTTAGTCAGGAGTAAAAAAAGGTACTCAGGACAAAATTTAGCAGAAAGTTTCAAACTTTAACCAAAGTACTTTAAGTCAAAGTAGACCAAGAATGCTTTTTGGTGCAATAAGTACCCAAAGCAAGTATAATCACAACAAGCACAAAAATCACTGCCCTTTTGAGGCTAACTGTTTCATGTTTAGTTCCAGGTTCGCGATAAATGTAAGTATTTTCTTGCATTTATTTCCACCTGCAACGTGCTTCACCCCATGTTCTTTTTCTCCCTACGAAATTGTTGACCAAAATTTGTTTAACATGGAAATCTGATCTAAAGCATTGGGGGATCCTGGAAACAGCCTTGTCTCATCCACCAAGCAAAAAAGCCTATTTTGTGAGACATTAGTTCGTTAAAGCTGCACAAAAGAGGGAATTTTCTAACAGGAAGTATGTTCTAGTTAGGTGTAGGGTAATTGCCTCTAGAGAAAGCGTGTAAAATATTTGTCCGGGCACTTGTAATGTTTTGTAGTCTATTCTACATGCTTATCTTCGGCATCTTAAACAACGCATTTATTTTTTTTGGCATGAAGTCTTCAAAATTATTGATCGTAAATGTGACCGGATTTTAATTCCACACCGGCGAGACTCTAATTTATGGACGAGCCAATCAGAGGCGTTTTAGAGATTTCAAGGTTACGTCGCTTAGTGCTAACGTACGTTCGGTTCACAGGGGATTTTGTACAAAACGTGATAAATAAAATGGCGAGACTATAATTTGTGAACGAATCAATCAGGTATAAGATAATAAATCTCGGGTTTTAACGCGAAAGCCTTTCATCCACTTGGCTAAATAAATTTCTGGCATTATAGCTGATGTCATTTCGTGATGAAAACCCCACATATAATTCCTAACTAAGGTAAATTATCGCGAACTGGATAATGAAAGCACCAGTAACACTGGCTGCAGCCAGGTACTGCAATATATACGGATGTTTGGATAGCGTACAGACTCCTGCACAGGCCTGGTTATGTGCATCGTGTCTATATCCAAAAGTAGCACTTTGTGCACTCAACAACCAGAGTACACATAAAAAATATTGAAGCTATGCGGTCGAGGCTGAAAGAGTTTATGAGACCTTATCAAAATACCAGTGGCATACAGGTTTTCACACCGCGTCATCAATACTTGGAACCTGCTGCCTGAAGCAGTGGTGTCCGCACCTTCAATTGACTCTTTCAAGAGAAGACTGGATACTCACAGAAGCATACTAGAAGAGGAATAACATAGGCCGTAAGCCTTCTGTCCTTACTACACAAATCTGAATCTAAATACTATGACTATAGTCATAGTATATACTGTTAAGTTCACCAACATATATTTGGGTAAGTGGAATCATTTACCAGAACTGCTGTTTTAATAAGCAAGCCGAAACACTCAAAAAACCTTATAATTAAAATCTAGAGACATCATCCTTCATAATAGGTTACAACTCACATGAACAGAAACAACCACGTTTATATGTTGGCCGTACATCAAGGTCGTGTTAACAAAAAGCAGTATAGTTAAAACTTCAGATTCAGAATTGTGTAATGGGGACGGAAGGCCTATGGCCTAAGTTACTCCCTTTCTAGTATGCTTCTTTGGGTATCTAGTTATTTTTTGAATGATTCAATTGAAGGTGCGGACACAACTGCTTAAGGTAACATGTCCCAAGAATTGATGACTCCGTGTGGAAACCACGTATACCACTAGTAATTTTTCGTTCTAAGCCTTTCTACTCACCTGCTATGTCCTCTGAGAAGTTCCGATCTAATGAGAAGAAAAGGAGAGAATATGTTAGGCCAAAAATCATTCCTTAGTATTCTACACACCAGAACCAGATCACCTCTTAATATGCTGTAGTGGTAAGTAAATCCCCAAAATATATAGCCCTGTAAGTCTTCGACATTGGATGCCGACCATATTAGTTTTAATGGATTCACCTAACTGGGGGTGCTCGGTCATGCATCCTCACCAGATCACGAGTGGGAACGCCGCGCTCAACATCCCTTGCAATCGCTAGCCAGATTAGACCAGTCGATCCTCGATATGTTGATAGCCTATCAAATATATCTTCCAACCTCCCCGCTTCTGTCCTTTGATTTCACTTGGTGGGTACGATTCGTGGTAGAAGGTGTTACTGGTTAAAGCGTTGTCAAACTCCAAGTACCTGTGGCATCCTCACTGCGATAGGACAGAGTAAAGAGGTCTAGCTTTTAAAACCCTAGAGTTCCGCAATTGCACGGGTAGCTACCCCCTGTATTTTTTTCAGGATATCCGAGTCACCTTTTAAACAGGAGGTTGCAGCCTGATGTATAATAATCAAGAATAAATTCATATTATATCTTGCTAGAGTGAAATGAAGTCAGAGGCGCCATATTAGAGAATGTAGTAATAAAGAACAATGAGTTGTGATGTTTAACAAGTTGGAGTAAGCTCACATGAAGGAAGGGAAGTCAAGGTTGGTACAAGGAAGGCGGTTTATTAGAAGGGAGTGTGCATATAGAGGGTGAAGTGTTAAGAATACTGATGACTATATTTTTATTGCCTAATTTTTTCTTTCTTTTCATTTTTTGTCCATCCGATGCTAGTCAACATAGTGTACAAAGGAGTAAAAAGGTAATAAAGAATAAACGGTAAGAAATTCACACTAACTTGGTGCTGATGTTATTTTGTGTTGTCCTAACCAGTTGATGGGTAACAGGTCCCATAGATGCACGACCATTGGTATTAGGCAATCAATCGTGCGGTCCTCTTGACTTTTCAGGGTGGTAGTGAGTGTCCCTTAGCGACCGAGTTTAGTTGAACAGTATCGATAGGTCCAGTGAGTTACCTGTCTACTTCAAGTGAAGAAATAGGTGGAAAAAGTAACTACTTACTTACTTACTTACTTACGCCTGTTACTCCCAACGGAGCATAGGTCGTCAACCAGTATTCTCCAACCCACTCTGTCCTGGGCCTTCTTTTCTAGTTCCATCCAATTCCTGTTCATTTTTCTCATGTCTATCTCCATTCCCCGGCGTAATGTGTTCTTTGGTATTTCTCTTTTCCTTCGGCCTTGAGGATCCCAAGTGAGGGCTTGTCTTGTGACGCAGTTGGGTGCTTTCCTCAATATGTGTGTCTTATCCACTTCCAGCGCTTCTTCGTGATTTCTTCCTCCACTGGGATCTAGTTTGTTCTCTCCCATAGTAGTTTGTTGCTGATAGTGTCCGGCCAACGGATCCGAAGTATTTTACGTAGACAACTGTTAATGAACACCCGTATTTTCTGGATGATGGCTTTCGTAGTTCTCCAGGTTTCTGTCCCATATAGAAGAACTATCTTGACATTTGTATTGAAATCCTGACCTTTGTGTTGGTTGACAGTTGCTTTGAGTTCCAGATGTTCTTCAGTTGTAAATATGCTGCTCTTGCTTTGCCGATCCGCGCCCCCACATCTGCATCAGATCCATTGTGTTCATCAATGATGCTGCCCAAGTGTGTAAAGGTGTTTACATCTGCCAAATCTTCTCTGTCAATTGTGATTGGATTGGTGCATGCTGTGTTGTACCGGAGAATCGTTCTTTTCTCTTTGTGTATATTAAGACCAACTGCTGCTGAGGCGTCATAACCCTTCTAAATGAAGACTTTCTGACTCCCAGGGCAAATTTTAAATGGTTTGAATATTTTTTTCTGGTTAACGTTTTTTTAGAGAGTTAGTTTTCTATAGGATGGGATCACCAACTTTATGCCCAACCCTCCTCCTTTATACGGGATTGAGACTGGCAGTAGCCCCTGGAGGGGCTCTAGGCGGAGTTGAAAAAGTAAATAATACAACTGCAAAGTAGGAAAAATAAAGCAAACGGAACTTGAAGTCCATTTTGATCTAGACATGTAGAGAGCCTATGATGTCTGAGTGAGGCGCAGATGTGTTCGTGCGTGCTAGATCAGTGCAAGTGAGAGCTTGATCAAGCAGTTTTACAAACGTACGTAATTCATCTGCCACGAGCGTTTCGGAGGAAAGACTGTTCCGTGTAATTGCATAGTTGATGCGGCCTCATGGTGAAAGCCGAGTTTCTTTAGAAGTCACGAGGTCGATGCCCCGTTTGGCAATGTTAATAACGTATTTCTGTAAGAGCAGGTACATGCCATTTTTACAGGCATGATCTACAAATTACAACAGTATGCTTCCCGAGTAGGGTCGTTAAATAGATATAATCAACAAAATCCAATAACAGAACGTTCGTGCAGATTTTTTGGAGTGTTAATGATTAGGTTTATGCTCTAGCATTATACTGAGTACAGTCTTCAAAATATTTTCAAAAGTGGCATCGCGTACACGTTACACACCAGATCCAATCTTGACATAATTGTGTTAGAATTTTGGTCGCGCTATGTATTTATGCAATAAAAATTTTTAAGTTTATAGTTGTTATAAAGTAGACTTGTAGAGCACTTGGTGTGAACTATGACTGAGAAAACGCGCACTTCAAGTTCGTTCCTGACGTCAGAAGTTCCGTAGCTGTGCCCTCAGAGCACGATTCTAAAAAAAGGAGAAACAAAGGAGCAGCAAGGCACTTGGATATGAACGCTAAACAATGCTTAACATCTTGTAGTGGAACGGACAGAGGTATGACAAATTACTAGATTAAATTCATACTAGCCCTAGTTGCCTGGGGAATTGTGATCAGAGGCTTCAGATGAGAGAATGCAGTGATAAAGAACAAGTAGTTGTGATAGTTACCAAGGCGGAGAAAGTTCAAATGAAGGAAGCGAAGTCAAAGTTGGAATATGAAAGGCCGTTTATCAGAATGAAAGGTGAATATGGAGAGTAAAGTGATAAGAAAACTAATAACTATATCTTTTATTGTCTGACTCGTTTTAGTTTTTCTATCCAGAGGAAAAATTAATATAGCTACATGGGATGTTTGAACAATGTGAGAGACCGGCAAGACCAAGTAAATAGCCGCAAAAAATGAGGAGATACAAATCGGTGGTGCTCGGAATAAGTGAAACATATTGGACGCAAGTTGGACAGAAAAGGATAGATTCGTGAGAGAAGCTGATGTACTCTGGTCAAGAAGAAGAAATATCTCCATACACATAGAGTTGCTCTGATGCTGTCCAAAGAAGCACGTAAAGCACTTATAGGATGTGAATTTCAAGGAGCCAGAATCATCGAAGCATCTTTCAGGACAAAGAAGGAGGAAAACGCAATGAATGTTATTCAACGTTATGCACCCACCAATTATAGCAACGACGAAGATGAAGATCAGATTTACGAGTGGCTTCAATCAATCAGAGCGAAGTGCTCAGGAAAGGACCTGACCACCTTGATGGGATATCTAAATGCAAAAGTACCAATGGACAACACCGGATATGAAGATATCATGGGACGACATGGACTGACTGGGAGGAAGGAACAAGAAAGGCGACAGATTTGCAAATTTATGTGTATTCAACATAATGGTCATAGGCGGCACAATATTCCCACACAAACGCATACACAAAGCTAGCCACATGGGTCTCACTGGACCGCATTACACAAGACCAGATCGACCGTATTTGCATAACTAAAAAATTCAGAAGGTCGATAGAAGAAGTGAGAACCAGGACAGAAGCTGACATAACTACGTACCATCATCAATTGGTGGTTACCAATGAAACTGAGGCTAAAGGAGCACCGAGCAACTGGGGAAACAAAGGTTCAATACAGCGTTCCTTCAAGATACTGTCAAACTCAAACAATTCAAGATAGCTGTCAACAACAAGTTCCAAGCCCTACAAGATCTACTGAAACGAGAAGAAATCACCATGGAAGATAACTGGAAAGGCATCAAAGAAGCGCTAACCGTTATGTTCCGATAAGCATAATGAATGGTAACTTTTTGGATCCACTTATGGACAAATACAACGCATACATTTTTATCATATAATTGTTAAATAACTAAATTATTCATATTCATGTCCCCTTTATTATGAGCTTTATTTTAACTTATGAACTATTATTCTAAGATTTACCATTCTTGAATTATACCCTGTCTATTAATTACTACCTCCCACACTCACAGCTACATTTGGCTAAATTTTGTACAAAAGTTATTTCCTATTTTATGGTACGATGTGATCTGTTTGGTTTGTATATAAACCCCGTATGTTTGGAATACATGATTCATATTTCAGAAACTGAGATTGATGTTCTGGAATTAACTGGCTGGGCTAGGCAGAAAGCAGAACCGATAAGGACTCTAGAGTGCTCGCATGAGTTTTAGGCGTCACTAGACCGATCAATAATTCACAATTCTCTAATTGGCTGTATCATCACGGTATACATTGATAGGGGCACAAATCCACAAGTAATAACAATTGGCGACGGGAAGAAAACAAAAGCCAAGGACACAGTACCAAGAGTTATAGCACTAACTTCAACGTGTCAGGAAGTGCTGAGCCTCAACAACCATCATCATAAGGAACGGATCTTCATCGAAACCCCGGGCTAGATTCAAGAAAGAGAGA